TGTGTATGTGTGAATGCGTGTGTGCATTTATATATATATATATATATATATATATATATATATATATATATATATATATATATATATATATATATATGTATGTATGTATGTACATATATATATATTATATATATATATATATATATATGTGTATATACACATATATATATATATATGTGTGTGTGTGTGTATGTGTGTGTGTGTGTGTGTGTGTGTATGTGTGTGTTTGTGTATGTATGTGTGTGTGTGTGTCTGCATGTGAGAGTGTGTCTGTGTCTGTGTGTAAGAGAGAGAGTGTGTGTCTGTGTTTGTGTCTGTTTACATATCCTGAACAAAAAAAAAAAGAAAAAAAAAAAAAAGAAAGCGTAGCATGCGTAGAGACGCCGTTGGGTTGTGCAAATGATATGCAGGATATTCCTCGAACAGACCAAGAAATCTTTGATGATTAGAAAGTTGTGTATACTTCAGTATACTTCTTACACGAATCTTCTAAAAGAAAGCTGGTTGTCTCCAGCAGAAGGAAATGTGTGGAACCAATCGAAGGCAAAGGCAGGTCCTTTAAAGGTCGCCGGACTTTTCGCAACATGTTTCGGACGCTTAAAGGGAAAAGAATGTCTCATTCTTCCCCTTCTTTCGTGATTTAGGTAAGTAAAATATACGCATATATGTATCCTGCTAGTATACGTAACCATTAACGCACATACACACATACATATGTATATGGACATATGTGCGTGTGTGTACATTTATGAACATATAGGTAAACAAATCAATATACATACATCTATATATAATATACACAAATGTATTATGTATTATGCATGTGTTGTGTATACACATATATGCATATATATACATATATATAGATATATATACATATATAAATTCTCGTTCGCATGCTCAGCAATACATAGACAATTAGCGAGAACAGCCATGCTAGCCAAGCCTCCATACTAGCCAACCCTTCAGCTGCCATGGATACCTTTCTCTGATCGCGATGAAATCTCCATGTATGAACAACGCAATGGGATCATACCATACTTTGTGTATTTGTGTGTGTATGAGTGTATATATTGTATGAGTGTGTGCATTTATTCATTTATCTATCTGTTCACACATATGCGTACATATGTGTACATGAGTGGTTACTCTATGTGCAAATAAGAGCAGATCGTACACATGACCATGTACATACATTACATGTAAATAATATAATCATGTACATATGAGTATATGTATATACATGTATATACAACTATATATTCATATATTCATATATTTAAGATATATGTGAATATATGCATATATTAAAGTATGTTAAAGTACTACCTTTAGATATGTAAATACACACAATGAACATACATATACAGTGACACATATTTGTAAGTATGGAGGTATACAAACATATGTTTCTAAACATATCTATGCCTATATGTCTATGAATAGATATATACATAGATGTGTATTTGCTGTACAATTATATGCATATCTACATACATATATAAATATGCACAGACGGAAGTCCTAGTTTGTCATGATAATTATATAAAAAAGCAAAAGTCAGTTTCTCCTGACTGGTATTCCGTCAGTGAGTTCAGTTTCAAGGTGAACGTCAAGCAGTATATAAGAGATGAACGCTGTTATCCATCATCAGTTCATGAATCACATTGGTAACCAACAAGGTACATCAAAATAATCCTATAATAATCAAAAGAAAAAACTTGGCCATGTTAAACTGCCTCTAAATATGGCTCATATTGTAATCGCATTTACGTTAGCACATAATCTTTTTCGTTTTCTAATTTCAGATGAAGTTGTTTTGGCTACTGATCGCACTCTTGGCCCTCGCTACTGCTGACGACAGCAGTTCAACAGGCCAGTCTAACGACGGCGACGACAACGGCGCTGATGACAACGGAGTTGATGACAATGGCAACGGCGACGCAGGGGCCGCGTCAGACGTCGAGGGACGCACAAGGACGTCCGAGGCTGGGAAGCAACAGGGCAGATTCTTTGGAGGATTGGGAGGCTTGAGTCCTGTTGGAGGTATGGCGGTTTCAGTCCTGTTGGAGGTATTGGCGGTTCAGTCCTGTTGGAGGTATTGGCGGTATCAGTCCTGTTGGAGGTATTGGCGGTATCAGTCCTGTTGGAGGTATTGGCGGTATCAGTCCTGTTGGAGGTATTGGCGGTATCAGTCCTGTTGGAGGCTTTGGAGTGAACCCAGTACTAGGAGGAGGGTTTGGAGCAAATCCTGCTTTGGGAGGACTTGCTGTAAATCCTATTCATGGAGGAGGATTGGGCATTGGGCCTGGTATTGTGAGTCCTGTGGCTCCTCCCTCCACATGCCGCTACTGGTGCAGGACACCCGAGGGTCAGGCCTACTGCTGTGAGAACATCAACCAGCCACAGAGTGCTGCCGGTGTAGTCAAACCGGGATTCTGTCCCCCCGTTCGTCCAGTGTGTCCTCTAAGGAGCTTCCAGCCACCATTCACTTGCTCTA